GGCAACAGTAGAGGATATGCTGCTTTTAAAAGTTGAAAAACAGCAAGCAGAACGCACGGCGCTCATGTTTTAGGCCCATTGGCGCCCGATAGGCCCATGCCGGCCTCCAGTGACCGTGTCGTTGTGAGACTGCCATTGCGCTCTCTCGCCCGTCGTTTTCTGGCCTCTCTCGTCTCTTATCAGTGTATCGCCGCAATTCACAATTGATCTTGACCACCTTACGCTCGTCCGGTGATCATGATCAATTGCAATAAAGAGGGTCTTATTCCGGGCGCTTTTTCGTGGTTCCTTCTCTTCAATAAGTCAACAATCACAGGGCAATTCTATTTTTGAACTGTATTACCTATGATCGGAATTGCCTTCAAAGGAAGTGAAAAAGAGTGGTCAAAGGAAGTATAATAGTAGCAGATTGTCAAATAAAAAATGACAAAAAATATAAAAATAGAGAATGCTGAGAGAGGCGGTACAGAGATATGCAGAAAATCGGGAAATGGAGAAAAAGGAACAGAGAACAAGACATTCAAACTAGTAATAACAGAGGCACAGGCTGCAACAACACCATATCTTACAGAGCTCATGAACAGGAATCCGTTTTGAGGTACAAATTACGCTGACCACATGGGCGGAGCCAGGTCCACTACCCCCTTATTTGTCCTACCTCAATTGTAAGGCTGTTAGGCGCTGTAAGCCGAATGAACAAAGGTACGGTACCATGCCTGACTCCGCTAATCGATCTGTAAGGACAATAGCTGAACAAGCAACCCGTTCGAGAGCAATTTCATTTTATAGGAATCCATCGCGAGGTCGCACGTAAGCTGACATCAGAGAGAGTGTCAAGACGGAATTGTAGAAGAGCTTACAAAAAGTTAGTGTGGTGGTAGGGCAGAACAGGTGGAACGAAACGCAGCTGCATGCGAAGAGATGGCGAGTAGTGGCATCAGATGGGGTATATATTTTTATTTCTTTTTTCGGAACAGGAGTTCTGTTAATATTGGTCTGATGTTATCCGACATTCTTATAATAATCTCTATCTGGATCACTAACTGATTAATTAGACCTATAACCATGGTTCTGTTCTTCCAAGAAGAGCGCCACCAGCAAAGCATTCACTTTTGTTTTTCCACGATCTCATCTTTGCCGGACTGAAAAATCGACGGTGACGGCGATTGGGAAATGGTGACGGGGAAAAAGCTAATCCCATCACGTGACTGGCGAAAGCCTGTGTCGCTGCAGACGCATTGTGAGGAAATTTTCTCCGTGATGTGACCTCCACATCTTCCTTGGATACGGTCCTACACCAGATGCACCCACAGAGACCCCGTCGAACAGGTTGATGGAGGAAATACCTTCCATCGACTATCAGAAATCGAACCGCATAGCGATTATTGGATAGCTTGCGTGGGAAGGGAAATTAGCTATCATAGGAGTTCGGAGAAAAGACGAGCCTTTCTGCCCAAAAAACACTCTCCGTGTTCCGAATTTCGCAACCGTGGTGTGGTAGGCTTGCCCTCTTAGGATGTGGTGTGCCCTGTTAGGCTATAATATGAAAGCTCTATGACGCGATTCTCGACCCACTTGTCATCACGCCTCATGACCGGCCGTTGACGTTTTGCGTTCGCTTCATGTTTTTCTCTTTCCAAAAAGCGCAATATTTACACTTGAAATCCCTGAGACGCGGTAGGCGTGGCTGCGTACCTGGACTGGACGAGGTGGCTGCTAAGTTTTTCGTAAGATATTTTGGTTTTGGGTGATCGTAATAATGTCTCAGCCTAACACAGAACAAGATTACAGTTCTTTGAGTGTGATATGCCCCCGAGATAACCTGTGCTAAGCCATGTTCAAATGCCACGCCTACCCCATCTCATGGATAAGGAGTGTATGTTCGCTCCACAATGTCAAAAATTTGCCCGTCAGATTTTTGATCCGAAGGATTGCTTCAGCTGCACCGAGCGGGCCCTTCCACTTTGCCCTCTTCATTCCGCAAAAAAAACCTCAAAAGCTACGGAGGCACTTTTAGTGTACACCTCTTTATGAAGAAACACGCAGGCCAGCTGCGAGTGCAATCCATTGGCATGGCGGGCTAACAGGCCCTCCGCAGCCGCGAAAACGCAGCGGGTCTCACGTTAAACATCTTGGCCTAGAGGATCCAGGACCTGGGCAGAGCTTAAATTTCTCCATAAAAGAGAACCTTGCGGCGCAGGCGCGCTGCACGCCGTTACTATATCCCGACCCCATCTATAGTGACCGGCGCAACCCTTGTTGGCGTTCTGGCACTTTGCCAAGTTTGTAGTTCGCGCTGTGCGCATCTGCGCTCTTTGCGACACCGAAGAAGACCATTAGAACCATGCCACAAGCGCAACTCACCCCGTCAGAATAATCGACCTCCTCCTCATCGTCCTTTGTCACATAGTTTGGATCAAGGAAGTCCACCAATTCCTTGCCAAGAAGGTCCGTTAAGGCTGGAAAATTCATGCGAAATTCAAAGTAACAGCAATTCTACCTGAAATTGTCAACTCACGATCAAATTCTTCCGGTTTTGACAGTGGAGACGGTGGGGGCATAGGGGGAGCAGAACCACCGACCAGCTCCTTGGAGTGATCCATATCGGGAATGTATCGGTGCGGAAGTCTAGAGGGCAATCTCCTCGTAGTAGAGGGCGATAGCAAAGTGGCAGGCGACGAGATTTCTCCAGTGGACACCACCCTTTCAGTGGATCGTCCTGCTCGTTCGAATTCCTTGGCTCTGACTTCTCCTGATTTCCTGTCCTTCATTTTTGAGATATTCGCCTCCTGGATCAAGTGTCTGATTAACTTCCGAGCATCTTCACGTTGTAATGCCTTTGCTTGTGCGCTATCGTCGATAAGCGTCAGTTGCGATGGATCCTTTTTGGGAGGTGGAGGTGCTGGTTGAGCGGATTTCCCAGTACTACTGGCTGCCAAATGCATGTTCTTTTCCCTACTTTGCGGTTGTGGTGGTATGCTGATTGATGGCGGCCGCGTTGAAGCTTCCTAAACTGAATGAGATGAAGAAAACATCAATTTGAATGGCAAATCGATGCAAAAACATCGATAATTATCGAAAAATTGAGAGGAAGCTCAGAAAAAGAGTGAGCAATTATCCGGTTGGATTTATAGAACTGGACGGCAAATCCGGTTCTCATTTTGGCACATGAAAAAAACCAATTTCCTGCAATCTTCGGCTCTATTCTATGAGAATTATGTCTTACGTTTTTCTCCTCATTCGGCATACATTTCTTTACATTCATCAAAATTCGATCGATCATTACGACGGCATTCACACCTCCATCAGCCTTTTCCATGATGAACAACACCTGAAATGATGACAGATATTGGGGGACATCGTTGCTGGGGATTCCTCAACAAGGGGGGGGGGTCATGTTTGTCTGAGAAAAATTTTTTTGATGGTTGTTTTTTCTTGTTTCAGGGATGTTGCAAACGGGGGGGAGTCGTATTCACTCGTTATTGGGGAAGGGGGCTTCTGACCTACTGAGAGAGGTTGCGACTTATCGCGTTTTTCTTGTTTTACGCGTACTATCTATCCCTCCTCCACGCCCCCAGCTCGACAGCAAAATATTTGGGTGAAAATGGGGAAGTTCTTGAGAAATTGTGGAAAAACTGGTAGGAAACTATGGAAACCCAACAAAGCGTAGGCTGGTAGGAAGCTGGGGAAATTTAACAGAGGGTAGGTAGGTAGGATGGGAAAAGGGGAGCCGTACCACCCCCTCCCTCCTTAAAAGAGGTGTCGTAAGGACACCTCTTTTAAGACCAAAATCTTCAACTAATGATGAGCCCGCAGATATTCCATTTCAATGCGCCGGACCGCATCTAGTTGGAAGCTCTTCTTGTGTCAGGACTTTGTAAAGGCGGCAGGCGTATTACTCGTTGTTGGGGAGGGGGGGGCTATTCCCCTTTAACTTCTGAAGAGAGGGTGCGACTATCGGTGCGTTTTCCTGTCTCCACGTGGACTATTTTATCCTCCCCTTCCCCCCCCCTCTCCGCCTCGACACCCGCAGACAGTTTTTGATTGAAAGCGGAAAGTTTCTTGGAGAATTACCTGAAAAAGATGGGGAGAATCTGAACCAGAAAGGATAGGCGGGTAGCACTAGAAAGGGGAGCCGCACCACCAACCCCCTCATCCTTCGAAAAAAGGGGGTCGTGCGGACTCGACCAAAATCCCCAATTAATGATTAGCCCTGCAGATATTCCATCTCAATTTCTTTTTCGCCGGATCGCACCTATGTCCCCCCTCCGTACAACCAAAACCCGGCCGGCTCGGACCCGTTCCGACATTTTCTCATAAACTGAAGAAAGTCGGTCGCATTGAATATGCAGATCTATTAAACCGGAGGCGCGGCCGCTTACCATCAACGGCCGCCGCCCGATAGCATGTCAGACGGCGTTGAAAGGAATGTGTGAGAGCGTGAAACGGATGTTTCCACACATGAATGGCGAAGGCTATTGCTAATCGGATCATAACTCGTCGAAAAGGTCCTTACCTGTACATTGGTCCCTTTTGGTACTGCCAAACTCTGACTGATCACTTGACTTTGTCGAGATGGTTCAGCTGGATGACAATTTTCCTTGCGGACTGTAGTTTGCCCCCATCGCCTCCAGCATACCATGAGACGAGCTGTCGGACTTTGCCAGTGCCTGAACGAGTCAGTCCGGGTCATTCACGTTCTACTTAAAATCCCATTCCAAAGGGTCGCCATAAATTGGACGAGCCTTGTTCCGATGCTTTAACGATGCTGTAAGTTGGCCCACTTCAGTGCGAGACATTGTTCAGCGGCTAATTACGAAGAGCTAATAAATTCAGATGTAATGCCGAGAAAGTGGAAAAACGAGATTCACCCGGATTTCATTAATCGGTGAGCAACGCTTGGGTTTTCACTGGTATAAGCGGTGACTCCTATGAGAAAACGAACACCGAAAAGACTTGAAAATTCTGACTCTTTTCCACTTTAAGCGCTAATCGGCTTGAAGGGGGCATTTCGCAGTTTCGCTTGTTCCTTTTGTTGCTTCATGTTGACTAACAGGTCTCACTTTGATCTGACGTGCAAACTGCTGTAAAACAACGAAGCTGTGCTAATGAGCCCTTCAAGTCAGCACCTGGTGCCCTCGTTTGATGCCCCCACCAAGCCGACCTGCAATTTCATAGAAAGCCTATTGAGAAGGAGAACATCGTAGCCTGTTCTATCCCCATGCCCCAGCGATGCCTCTCAAGGATATTCCGTGAACACTGCGTCTTCCAGATTGACCTAGCCCGCACGCACAAGGTCAGGTTATGAAGGGCTAATTTCGGTCCACGTCTTTCACTTCCCATCTCATCTCCCTCGGGTCTTCAATCAAGTTCGTGCATAAGCCGAAACTCTCCAGGGTTTCCTTCTTCGTCTTTTTTGAGTGTTTTTTTGTACGGAAAAGTTTTTCACAACATTGCTGGCTATTTTTGAATGCAGCCTGCCAAAAGCTCAAATTTTCATGGAAAAGGCGCACATGCATAGTTGGACACCCGTACGTTCCTAGTTAACGCACGAAGATGTACGGAAACCTCGTGCACTCCCCTCCCCTTAGATACCTCAGAGTCAGGATATCCCTTCATCCTTATTGGAAAAAAAAGAAAGGGTTCATAGCAAATCGAGAATGAGAAAAATATCGGACAAATCAAAGTGATCTTCGTCCTGCTCCCGAATCACACGAACCATCAGCTTCCCCTGACTCGCATGCAGTGTACAGCGTCGCCATGGATTGAAATAAGGTATAAGTACAATCCCTACCACAATTTATTTTTACGGCACCACTGCCGTCTGAACTCCTACCCACCACTTTCACAAACTCTCCCACATGGTTCTCCCAATTCTCGTAATTTCTCTCAGTTTACCAGCTTTCTTGAAACTTTCAAAAATTTCACTGAAATTTCGCTGCCAGGCTGGAAGATATCCAAAGCATGAATCCGAAAAAAAACAACAGTCAGAAAACAATCTTTTATTGGCTCGGCAGATCTTTTGTCTAGGCCAAATAGAACCCCCCCCCTCTTGACGTTGCACAGCGATGCTGTAGCCTGATTTCAGGCATGATCTTCAGATTATCCTCGTTTATCTCAATTTTTTCATTCTCTGAAAATTTTGTCAGGATTTTCCTGCTGCAAGAATTTAATCGAAATTTGACTGGCGAGCTCAAAGGGATCCAAAGTATGGAATAGATAAACAACAGCCCAAAAAAACTTTCTTGTGGCGCGGAAAATTTCATGTCAACGAAAAAAACGACCACCCCCCCCCTCCTCTCTGACGGAGTCTCGCACAGCGATGCTGTAGCCTGATGCCAGCTGCCATGAACGACTCTCGATGAGCCTTGACACGACACAGTAATAGACCCATTGGGTTTTGAGGGGTTAGTACGCAAAAAATAGCACCGGAGAGAAGCTCGTAATAGAGAGCGCATAGGTGAGCCTCACCCTCAACTGGTGAGCTTAACTGTTCAGCCTTCTCAGCATCAAGATGATGATACCATGATATCTACAAGATGACTCCGATGTTTTCTTCCATATAAAACTGATTTTCTGGTGAAAAACTGGAAAATGAAAGAATGTCGTAGGAATGGTAGGTAGGTGTCGGGGAAGGGAGCGGGGAGGGTCGTACTCCCTCGGAGGGTCACAGTCTTTCACTTCACACGAGTTACAACTGCTTGGGGGGGGGGTCTAAGACCAGGATTAGCCGCATTCTTGAAAAGAACTTTCTGAC